CTCTCTCTCTCTCTCTCTCTCTCTCTCTCTCTCTCTCTCTCTCTCTCTCTCTCTCTCTCTCTCTCTCTCTCTCTCTCTCTCTCGTAATGGGAAAGTGTGGGAAAGTGCAATCCGGTACAAACAAAATGTACCGGACTGGAAGAACATAGCAAAAAATGTGCCTCACTACCGATCTAGCACATTGTTGTGTTGGACCGCTCTTTTTCATTGTTTTGGCCATGGTCCGGCAAGAAATGTGCCGGATGGGAACATGGATAAAAATGCAGTTCGACATAAAATGTGCCAGGTCGGCTAGTAGCTAGGAGGAAGAAGTTGGACCGCACTTTTTACCATGTTCTTCTGATCCAGCACATTTCTTGCCGAACTAGGGCAAAAACAATGTGAAAATACGTTCAAGTACACTTTGGCATCAAATTTCAAAAGCCTCACAACCAGTCCGGCACAATTTTGTACCGGTCATAACTTTCAGGGGCGGAGAGAGAGAGAGAGATTGATATCATGCAAGAGAGAGAGAGAGAGATCAGGCGGAGAGAGAGAGGATTGAAAGGGTAGTTTAGTCTACAAAGTACATTCCAGGGGGTTTTCCATAATTTTCCCTAAAATTTATATTTTTTTAACTAAATCAATGTACAAATATTATCTATATATAATCTTATTTTTTATATGATTTGTGAGTTTTTTTTATCATATGCTATATTTTTTATTTTCCTTGTCTTGGATTTTTCAGAATTGTTTCTGGCTATAAATCAATTTTTTTCTAAATTCCATCTTTTATAATGTTCTCCCATCTCTTTTGCACTTCTAATGTTGCTTATAGTTTTCTTTATTTCTATTTTTGAAGAAAAAATTTATCTTTTATCCCTTTTTTGAGCTGGTACAGTACTCTCATGCGGGTCCTCTCAGAGCACGAGTTACTTGGCTCGAGCAGGAACCAAGTCCCAAGCCGAGTAATTGAACATTTTTTCTGCTTTCTGCCACTTTTCCCCACATCAAATTCAGATGAAATTGGGACGTAAATGGAAAATAAAGATAATAAGAAGATCTCACTAGTTTCAAGTTTCAACCAATATTTATATCAATTCAAGCACATTCAGTCATAATTCGCCACAAGTCACCAAGATCTAGACTCAAAAATCAAAATACCATGAACCTTTACCTGTAACAAACGAGCCAATTCTTTATCAGACGTCTCCATAGTTGAAGCAGAAGCCACGTCCTCCTCCATTGAAACCACACGAAGCTCTTCGACGGAAGAACCAGAGTCCGCCAAAAGATCACTATCATCCTTAACTGGAAAATTATCCTTTCGATATATCTTTTCCAACAAAAACCAGCATGCACAAGGAACAATTACGGAGACAATCAACGAAATAAAAATAATGTTGGTAAAAATTAGGGTTAGGGTCTCAAAGAAGTACATTCTGGCTTTTAGGGGGCACCAAAGTCAGGGAGTAGAGCTGACACCTCAGGACCTGAAAATTAGAGAGAGAAACGTGCAATTTTATAGACAAATGAGAAAAGCGAACGCTTCAATTCGAAGAAAAGAAAAAGAGAGAGACCTCGAGACCAGTTTCTGCATTGTAATCGACTTCGTAGGTCGAGTCCTTGTGACGAACGAGAAACTTTTGAGTCGCCATTTCTCTCTTTCCGCTGTCTCCCTCTTTCTTTAAACCTGCAAATTCTTCAGCACTTTACTCTGCCCGCTTTGAGTACAAAGAAAATTACAAATAACTTACAAGAGAAGCCTTTCTATGAATGATACCCCCGATCAAACTTCCCAAAAACCAACCGCTTTTCTAGCTAATACTGTCCTAATCAAAAAGTTATTTTTTTTAACGAAAATACCCTTTAATATACGATAAATTATTTTAGCCGGCCCGATTTTCACGTCGACTGGTAGACTCAGGTAGCAATTGTCGGACCCTAAAATCTTTCTACTAAAAATCTCTTCTACTAATTTATTCTAAAAATTTTAAAAATAAAAAAAAATTAGTACGCATTCTAATAATTTCTACATTGATAACCAAATTTTTTATTTTATTTATTAATTTTTGTATTATAATTCATGTAGTGTACTATTTTTCTTACAGTTGCCAATAATACATTTTAAATTATATGATATTATAAAATATTTTGGATTTACTATTATTTATATAATAAAATAATTATAAAATATTGTTGGTATATAATATTATAATTAGTTAGGTTGTAATAATTTGGGTTTTTTTAACGGATTAGGGTTTTCCGCCAATTCGAAATTTTAGTGGTCAATTTTTCATCGATTTAATCAACTCTTTATTATAGTCCATATATGATTATATACTTAATCCATGATAATTCTATGATTTATTTTTGTGTGATGTAAATTTAATGGCCAACATAAGTTCATACAGGAAAAGAACATCTCAATATTCATAAATTGATGAAAACAATAAAAGTTAATAATGTAGTACCCTCATTTCTAATTGGATTCCTAAAAAAAAACATTTATAATGAATTTTAATAATTTTTTCAGATTTTTTTGAAGCTTTAATCCGATCGATTCAGCCGATTTTCGATCCGGATCGCCGATTAGCCGATCTGGATCGGTTTTTTGAGGTGCTCGATCCGGGTCATCAATGCGCTTTTTAAACCATTGGTCTGACCCTACATTCTTGCCGAACCGAACTTTGAGTTGCCAACACTCTATTTTATAAAACATGAGTGCCAAACCGCACGTTTTAACCCCCAAACCTCTTGTTGCAAATGTTGGAGCCCCTTTCTTATTGCCAGACTCTTTTTTATTTCTTGAACTTGTATTGTGAGATTGCCACTGTTATTTATCGGACCGATAATATCATACTGCGACGTTATTTATCAGACCGATATTATATTATTGTACTGCCTTTTCGTGGAAAAGAGTAGAGACGTGGCAAAAGTAATTCGTGGAAAAGAGTAGATAGAGCCTGATAAAAATAAGGGAGGGTAGTTTAGACTCTCTCTTTTTTTAGTGTTTTTTAGTTGAGGAATATTTGCGAAAAAATATTATTTTAGGGGAAAAAGAAAAAATAACATCGGTTGGGTTAACTTGTATAGAAAGCCTTGGGTTATTTATAATAGAGAAAATTATGTATATATCCATTATCTTTTACTTTATTATGGTTACACCCAGCGTTTTAAAAACCGCCGAGTCGAACCGGACTCGCCCGGTTCGACTCGAAAATCGTGAAAAGGGACCGGATCGCCTCAAAAATCGAAAATCGTCAGGTTCTAGAGAGAACCGGACGATTCTGTACAGTGAATCGCCGATTAACTGTACGGAATCGGCGAGTCGGTACGGTAATTTTTTTTTTTTTTTTTTTTTTGTAATCCATGATAGTTTTTTTTGTAATACTTGATCGATTTTGTTTGTAATCCATGATCGAATTGTTTTTGTTTTTTTGTAATCCATGATCGAA